CTCCAAAACCTCTCCTCCTCCTCCTCATGCTGTAAGTTTTTTCTGTCTATTTATTCTTTATTCTTTTTGGTTCTGTCTTGAAATGCTTTCTGGGTTATTTTGTTTATTGGTTTTTGTTTTATGATGTAATTGGTCTGGTGTTTCTTTAAGGTCTGGTGTTTCTTTAAGTTCTGGTAATTAGTATTCTGTTCATTGGGTGCAAACCCTATTCATGCTGTATGTCTGTCTTGAGCTTAGTATCTGGGTTTTCCTGGATTTTTTATGTTCTGGAGCTCTATGTGCTTGTTCAGGGAGTTCTGCTCTTGGAGTTTTTTTTTTGTGGAACTTTTGTTTTTTTGTTTTTTTTGTTTTTGTTTTTGTCCGATTTTGCTTTGATTGAATTTTGCACTTAGAACTGAAATTCATTACTAATGGTTAGAACTTTTAGATACATGAAAATTTTAGTTCAGTTTATAGTTAGGATCACTGATTGGCTTTTGTGTTCCTATATTTGTGATTCAGTTTGGAATAATATGGAGGCCTTTTATTATTTATTGGAAAACATCAGGTTGTGAGTTTGCATAACTAATATAGATGAATATATTTTTTGTTCACATCTATTGAACTAGATCATGTTAGATTTAGACTTTACAAGAAGTTCTCCGAACCCTGACTATGTAATTCTCGTTTCCACAGGAAGACGAGGATGAGTCCAAAGGAAGTCAAAATGAATCAAGTAGCAAAGAGAGTCCCATTAATGTAGTTGATGGGCCTGACACTTCTTCCTTTAGTGCATTCCTCTACTCTCTATTGTCATCAGAGTCTGAAGATACTAATACAAATGCAGATGAGCAAATTGATAATCAAATGGATAGGAGTAACCCATCATCTGATTCTGCAATCAAAGGAAATGGTGGAAAGAGAAGTTTACTTTCTAAGGGGAAACAGTCACTTAGTAAAGTTATCTATCAAGCTGCGAGATTTGGTGGATATCGGAGTCAAGAGCGCAAGGGTAACCCTGACATGAAAGTTGATGATAGGAATGACTTGGAATTTACTGGAGTTGAGATGAGGCATATACAGAAAGCCGAAAAGCCTATGGCTTTGGTTGATCTCCCAGACATCTCTGAACCTTCTTTACTTCTTACAGAAATAACTAGAACTGCTCTTTATGCTTCAATGCCAGCGCTTGTTCAAGGACGGAAATGGTTGCTACTGTATAGGTGCAGACACATGAATTTTCATTTGCACAATTACAATTAGATCATTTGAAAGTTCTAATTAATCTTTACTACACAATTCTTTTACCATCCAATGTATTCCTTGTGTCCGGCAGTACATGGAGGCATGGCATATCATTGTCAAGCCTATACAGAAGAAGTATGCTTTGGCCTGGCCCCAGTTTGCTGGTAATTGTTAACCAGACTATTAGCAGCAATTATTTCAACAAATGGTCAGATCAACCTTTTAGACCAACTTATTTATTTTATAATTGTATATGATATAAATCATGTAATCAGCAAGAGAATGTGACACAAAGCAAACAATTTGTAACTAAAATCCTTGAGCTCTGTTGTTTTGAAAAGTATATCAAATAATTTCCTTGATTTATTTATTTTTATTTTTTGCATTGTGTCATTAACTCATTATCAAATTCTTAGACTTGTTATGCTTTAGTTCATACAGAAGCATATAATCCAAAATATTTTTTTTCACTTATTTTAAATATTTGTTCAGGTTGTTGGAGACCGTAAAGGTGCAGTTTTTGGTGCCTTGGTAGAGGCACCTCTAAGACCAACCAACAAGAAGTATCAGGTCCTGCTGAAACTCATACTGGTTTTTCAGTTCGTCTACAATTATTTCCTTCTATGTATATTGTATTCATGCCAACTTTTTAAACAGGGAACAAATGATACATTTGTTTTCACAACTACACCTGGAAATCCTGTTATATTTCGCCCTACAGGTACTAATTTATCCTTTTTGCTTCCAGTTTCTGAACTTATGTAGGTGGCAGGCTTGGTCTTTTTCATGCCTTAAAAAATGGTTTTGATATTTATAAAAGATAGAGAAAAAAAATTTCATACTTTTTGCTTGCAGGAAATATTCTTGGAAGGAGTAATTGAAAAATGTCATCTGGTTAAATGTATTAAAAATGTGTATTTCCCACCTCCATATTGTTTGGAAATTAGGGTAAAATTTATTGTTAGTACTTCAGCTTTGATTAGAGTAAAGGACGTGTTCCTGTGAAGTAGTAGTAGAGCATTTTGAACGAATGCAATCTTCATGAAACATCTATTAGGTTAAGATTTGCATTACATTGTAATAAATGTACTATAAAATTTTCATTTTATTGCTTTCATTCATTTGATGTAGCAGTTGTATTGTGTGATTTCTTTCTTTAACTATGGTATTCTTAGTTTTATGCGTCATATCTGGTCCAGATCCTAATGGCCAATAATGATCCTGACACTTTGGTTCTAAAAGCAGTTGCACATAACCCATTGTACAGAACATGCTAAAGGCTAAGTTTCCAACTATACCATTTCAAATACCACATGATGCTTGTCTTCTTTCTGTTGGGGGAGACTTGAATAAATATGCATTTGAATTATGCATATGGTTGCCATCTTAAGAGAGGGAACCTCTGTGTAAATATTATGTTTTCTTGTCTTTTTTAAAAATACCTGGAAGATACTTAACTAAATATGCTGGAATTAAGCAGGTGCAAATCGCTATTTCACATTGTGCTCAACTGACTTTTTAGCAGTTGGTGGTGGTGGTCATTTTGCACTCTATTTGGACAGTGATCTGTGAGAATTTTGCCTCTTAATTTTTTTTTAAAAATCTATTTTTTCCTTAGATATTTTATATTCAGCGAGCCCTCTGTTAAAAGAGGGAAACTTGGTGCGTTTGTAACTTTGTTCAATGTTTCTTTTATGGTCTATAAGATTGAGTGGATCAAGTTCATTCTCGGAAACCTATGGGAATCCTTGTCTTGCACACTCAAAAGACTTTGAGGTGAAAGAAGTTGAGGTGTGCATCTCTCTCTCTCTCTCTCTCTCTCTCTCTCTCTCTCTCTCTCTCTCGCACGTATGCACATCTACACACACTATATGCCCATACACATGGTCCCTCGGGTACACATTTTTCACAATGACTTCTCTCTGTTTCCAAATGAAAAGAGATGAAATGTGATGAATATTTTTGTGCAATGCAGCTGTGGGGCTTTGTAATTCATGCATTATTATTGTTAATGTGATATTTGGCTGTGTGATTGCAAGTCACTTAATTTAGTTATATCAATCTACTATGGTAAGGTCTCATGTCCCTACTTAGCGGTGGTTGCTCATCCCTCACCATATTTAATTTTTCAGATGAGTTAGTGGGCAAGACAATGACTAAACCAGTTGAAGATGATTAGATGAGATTGATAGAGTTTTATTTATTTCTTGTAAAGTTGTAAGATTTTGGAATCTATTTTTATAAGAAAAGTTTATTTTATGTATTTGGCTTTCTTTTTATCTCTTTTTTATTATTTTCTCACGCACCGGGCGCGGAATTTCCACCTACCCCGGGTCCGGGGCGTGACATGTACATATGTATTTTATAATATATGTGACATGTATGTGTATATACATGTATATATGTATATTATAAATAATATAAACATATGTATATGTATATATGGGTATATTATAATAATAATATACATGTATATATGTATATGTATATTATATATTATATATGTATATATGTGTATGTATATATATACATATATACATATATGATATATTTATGTGTATATACATGTATATATGTACATTATAGTATATGTGTAAGTAAGTTTAATAATAATAATATATGTTATTAATTTTACAATATAATATATGCATTTTATACATTGGTGAGAATTGAGACTAGCTAATCATCCCCTTCCACATGGGATTAGTAATCCCCTCCTAAGGAGGTGGTTTTGGTGGGCCCGGTATTAGCAATCCCATCTAAGACTAGGATTAGATAAAACAAACATGGTACTAAATTTAGTCCAAGCCAGTCCAAGCCAATCCTGTGTACCAAACGAGCCCTACGATCTTATAGAATTAGACTTAAAAGATATAACTATTTAACAAGAAAATTGAACTAATCCGCATGTATGAAAAGAGACCGCACCAGTTAACTAGTTAATCTGTAATCTACAAAAGAGGCCTGAGAAAGGACAGGAACGAACACTGATGGGAAATGAACTACATACCAACACCACCCAAGAAAAGTAAAAATTAACAATGCCTTATAGCTAAAGATGTTAACTAGAACAAAGTCCGGTCGTGTGTTCATGTGCGGTGTAACAAACTTGATAGAGTTCGATTCAAACAACTGCAGCAGCTTTCTCTCCAACCCCGTGTAATTTTTTAGGAGAGCCACTCAGCGAACTTTTATTCTTTGCAGCCACTGCTTCTTCATATGCAGCTGAGTGAATACCAAGTGCAGCACGGCCAGATGGATCGGGATTTTTTGACCATGCCGCATCCCATTCCACAGCTTTTGCTGTACTACATGCCACACTTGGACCGCCTGGAACTGTTGATCTAGCAGCATTCTGTTCAGAAATGGCAAATTGATCATACTCACATAAATAAACAATGTTCCATTTTAATCAAGTTAGATTTATATGACATGAGAGCAAAGCAAGTGGCATGCCCATCATAGTTTCATCAGATACTATTCGCCTTCTAGTACTAGAAAAGAGCGTGTAGAGAAATCATTCGCCTACTCCATAATAAATAAAGAAATGCAAGAAAGCTAAAATGATAACGTGAGTGAATATATTTCTTTCATGTAGCCAGGTCCCCTTCCTTCGCTTCTTGCAGAACTTGTATCTTACCTTTGGAAAGAACTTCTCAAATATAGTCCTATAGTAGTATGCTTCTTTTGTGGTAGGCGTATTTTCAGGGTAAA